TGATGTACTCACAGTTAGCCTTATCTCTCCATCAGGATAGGGCCATCAGGACTGTTATTGATGGTTAATGTCTGGGTGGGGGAAGAAATCAGGGAGGCAACTACCAGGATCAGATAATGTGGTAGTTAACACCTGAACAGGGCTACGTGTGAGAAGTCAGGATGAGCTAGGGAAGGCGCATATCTGTCACAACATTGAGGAGATTATCTTTTCAACCAAAAGTTTCTCCCTTAGTAACTCACTCCTTGACCTCAAGAAAATAGTGGCATTTATCACTATCATCAAGAGATATTAATTTTGACTGAGCATATTAGGGAGCCTGCAAACCCTATAAAGGTGGACACCAGGACAGAAAAAATAAAGAAGCTGGGCCACATAGACCCCTTCCACTGCCTGTTTCACATCTGTATGTTTGTCTGTCCATAGCGATTTGCTGAGAGAAGCAAGTGTCAAGACATGGAAACCAGTGGCAGAAGCTGGGAACAATGTTAACATTAGACGTAGTGAAGTGACCCCATACCTGTAGTTGTGAATGATAAAGATTATTTTTCTAAACTTTTTGAGCTTAGAAGGAAATTCCTTTCTAGGTTAATGCCTTACTGGGTACATGAAGAAATTAGAATTAAGCAACTTTTACAGGACAAGATGCCCACGAATATGGGACATTGTGAAACTACAGTTCTAATTACTAGTCAAAAGTAGCTAGCAAGCAGAACTTGTACCAATAACTTCCTACCCTAAAATGGAAGGAATTCACATATGCAAGAACTGAAGGTAGTGGCAAGCAGAAAAAATTGTAGGTGGCACTAGCCCAATGTCCGCTCCTTACGCACTTATCTAAGCAAGAAAACAAACAAAAACCCCACAACTTAGCACTAAGAGTGTGTTTTTTATTACTTCCCCTTTAGAAGTCTGTACCATGATATCCCACTGAAATGGACACAACCCAGTTTTGTTTTAAGGTTAATCTGAAAACTAAATGTGTTATTTCAGGTTTTCCAATGAAAGACTGTATTATAAGGCAGAGCCTCAGCTAGCTATCAGGCACACATACCTATCAGTAGCTGTAGGAGAGGGCAAAAAATTAAAACAAACAAACAAACCCTAAATGGTATCACATGATAAACATTGGTAATGTAATATACAAATACATTATAATGCAATAATGTATTTGGTTCTGCTCCTCTTCCCCCACCTCATTATCTGCAGAGGACTGAAGCAGCCATTGTAATAAATGTGGATCTTAACATGAAGATATTTTATCTTCTGAATATTATAATATTCATTTAAAAAAACATAGTGAGCTAATGTTTTTTTCCATACATTTAGAGCAACAAGAAATTACCTTAGAGCTATCTAATGGAGCTAATTAGGTACTATACACAGTAACTTAATATAATATGTTCAACTGAATTTGTTAGTCTATTAAAACTAAAATATAAGCAGGTAAAAAAAAAACAAAGAAATAAGAAAATTATTAAAAACTTACTGTATGCATAGGTTCTCAGAAGGAATGTATTTCTTATTCCTACAACATTGTTTACATTCAAGTCAAACTCCACACAGCTATAGAGAAGTAGAAAAAGAATCAAATATCATCGCATTCAGCTTCAGAATATTTATTACCTATTAGCAAGGGAAGTAAAGAAGTGCAACTTTAAGGTAATATTTTAGAATTTGCCTTCCTCAAACAGGAAGAGTTTTAAGGCTATAGCTTCCATTTTGGATCTGCATACAGTAAAATTATGGACTTGAATTCTATTGTTAACAAAATGCAGTTGCTGATTTATATAGAGGATTCAAGCTGAACTGAGTTTAGAACTTAGGACAACTTAATTGCTGTATTTTTTAACAAATGCTTATCTGAGCTAGTTTTCAAATACATGATTCACTATAGATAGTGTGTTTTATAAACATATTTTGATATCAGGCAGGATTCTGAGGCTTTAGTTCATCTTATCACACCAATAATCTGAGAACTAACTATAATAGCTCAGAATGTAAGAATCTCCTTACAGATTTCAAATTTTACTCTTATCCATAAGATATTCCAATTTAACAGTACATTTCAGTACCCCTACTTCAATTCTGTAGTGATGGTTAGAGATAAGCAACAAGCACTTTGACAATAAATCTATTAGTAAACAGTGCATGTTTTATAAAAATCATTTTAACTATATCAGAGCTTGTAATTTTAGCAATTGTTTAATATTGTTAATAACAAATAATAACATAGTAAACAAATATTATCCACTTTAACTTACCACTCCAATAATTTCATATTGCACATGCAGCTTAAATAGAGTGCTCAAGATACAATATTCAAATTTATGATCAATAAATTATAACATTTTAACTTGCAAAAAGAATGGCTTCATTGACAAGACAGCAGGGATTTACAATGTACAGCTCTTCAAAAATCTATTCTTTGTATTTATGAATTAGCTACACTAAAACATCCTTTGTATCAAAAATATTACACAGTTTAAAACATGAATTAAACATGGCTTCTTAGATGTTTTGAGAGGGTAGTAAACAATAACAACAGCGGAAAAAAACAAGCTTGAGCTACGGCTTGATAATTGTTAAAATATGTACAAACATCAGTAAGAACATTAGTTATAGGTGCAAATATAGTAAAGAAAATTGTCAGGCAGCATATGCAATTCCAGTTAACTCCATTTGGCAAGATAACATTTTAGCAGAGGTTGATTAAACAAGTTTTATCATAGTTCTGTTGTACTTCAACATGCACACTTGATAAATGTTGCAGTTACGGCAACTGAAAAGGGATTTGTGATGTTTTGACTCAAGCTCTACCAAAGGACTAATGGGGTGGGTAAGTCACTGCACATCAAATGCAGCAGAACAGAAAGGTTTTGCATCCTCTACACCATGGAATTGTTTTTAACCAAAGGCCTAATACCAGCTCTGCTACCAGTTAGAATTATTTCCTGGGAAAGACACCAAAAAAAAATAGGGATATTAAATAAAAGGCCACCAAAACTACCTACTGCTGAAGAGTGCATGTTATACTACACATTGTTAAAACTCTGAACATCTCCCTAGAAAAAAGAATACAGTCTAAAATGAATTGTTTTCTTGCTTAAGTGTGCAAACTATGTCATTACAAAAAATATGGTTTGTTTTATGGTGTTTATACAATACAAAAACTGTGAATTATTTCTCAAGTAGCTCAAGATTCAAGACGTATGTACAGAAAGCTAAGTCATCTTTCACAGCAGTTTTCTTCCCACCTTTATCTCCTGCGAGGAAGCATCTGTTAATTGGAGTCTGCTACACCAAAACTGACCACAAAAATACAGCAAGTAATGCTATTAATTCACATCATAGAAACTCCCAAACACAAAAACTGTTGCAAGCCACAGGGAGGTAAACTCATTGCCACTGCATATTAGCTACACAAATCTGCAAGCTCTCTACAGTACAAGGTGAAAAAACAAACCATGACTTCAGTGGAAATACTCACATGCACAGTACATAAACATAAATTCTTAGCCTTCCTCGCAGGAAAATAGTTAACAGACTACTTGCCTGACTTTATCCCTGAACTTCACTATTGGCACTTTTGCTCGAATCAGCTGAGGTCGCTCAATGTACCTTGCTGAAAGGGAGAAAATACCCAATCAAGTCCCATACAAAATGCGGATATTAAAACAAAAACTAATCAAAAAAGAAAAACCCAACAACGAAAGCAATTCCCCCTACTCCCAAAACAGAGTGAAGTCAAATTGACTGTTGATACTAGTAACACCAAAAATATTCCTCGAAATGTTCTGATAAACTAAGTAACTTTAGCAACTAGTAACAAAAATACAATCTATTAAACTGTGTAAGAACAATAATAATAATAAAAAAAAGCATAAAATGTTAGAGAAAAGCATTAGTGGAAGATTTTAAGAATATTCAGGAGTTTCAAACATAAGGAGACCAGTTCTACACTGCCTTCACTGAGCAGTTGTAATGCAAATCCTGAACAATTATAATCACAATTCAAAAAAGCAGGGAAGAACAGACCCATCCTAGATGGCCAGATACACAAGTCTGGCATTGTGCTGTGAAGAGGACGCTGGTGGATGACCTGCTCAGACTGGTGGTGGAGCTGAAGGAGGAGGTAGAAAGGCTGAGGGCCATCAGGGAATGTGAAAAAGAAATAGACTGGCGGAGCTGCGTTCTGCAGTCTTCCCAGGAAAGCCACTCGGAGAACCCCCCAATTCAGTCTGTAAATCCAGTACCCTCTTGCCATAGGGCAGAGGGGGCAGAATTAACAGTATCCAGGGACGAACAACAATGGAAACAGGTCCCTACTCGAGGGGGCAGGAGAACCCTTCCACGGCCCACCTCACCTCCACCTGTGACCACATCCAACAGGTACGAGGCCCTGGAACTTGGGGATCAGATAGAGGAGGCCTTGAACCAAGGCCCATCTAGGGGGCTGTCTACAGAGAGGCAGTCAGGTCCACACCCTGAGGCTGC